CAGGATCCGTTTTGACGGCGCTCGCTTGCCCAGAGGGGGCGAGCGGGTCCGGATCATCGTCGGACAATGAAAGCCCACCCTCCGATGCCGCGGAGGACATCTGATCTCCGGTGTCAGCGAGCGTGAGAGCTACCATCTGATTAGACGGATCACTCCCAGTACCCGAAGCTTGGATGGAGCGCTTGGAGGAGCGAGAGGTCCGCGAGCCCTTGGGCGGCGGATTATCTCTCGCTGGAGCCCTCAGATCTGCCCGAGCGCCCGCTGCAGAGCAGGGGGCGACTGGGGTGGCTTGCTCTCTTACGAAAGCTAACCGCGATCTCAACTGCGCAACGGTCATGGCATCGCAGTGACGACATGAACCGCCCCCGAGCACCACATTAACATGCTGGACCCCCAAACATGTAATGCAGTGATCGTGCCCATCATCCAGAGCCAGGAAACCCCCGCAACCAGAAACGCACAGTCGGAGCGCCATCCTGAAAAGGACGTGCTGCACGACTGTGTTGCTCTTTTAGGATGCTTTGCAGCAATACGCACCGCTCTTGGAGGACCGGACCCAAAGGGACGCCAGGCAAGGGAGAAACCCAGCTCGACCGTCTGCCGCTGCGTGGACTCGCTCTGGACCGGGAGACACTCGTTCGCTCGAAGTGGCTGTAGACAGCAGGAGGAACCCTCATGAAGCTCGATCAAAAAAAGTCTCTGAAGCGAAAAGGATAGTGTCTGCTGGCGCCAGGTGTGCTTATATGCTCAGTTAATTAAGCCTATGCAGTACACCTGCGCAGGCTTGCGCTGCCAATTCATTTTTAATTGGCCCGTTCAATACTCTTTCAGACGAGTAGCTTCTGAACCGAATCTCCCATTTGTTGATTTAGAACATCAAATCCACTTATAGTGCTGGAGTTCCCCCCGAAGGGGAACCAGAGTTTCTTAACCCATTTATCTTCGTTTTGAATAATCCCTCTTCCACCCCTACTCCCCCTCTCTAGATTAGGCGACACAGCGGCCCAGTGGTTAGCACTGTTGCCTCACAGCAAGAATGTCACAGGTTAACGTCCCTACTGAACCATTGACATTTGTGTGGAGTTTACTCATTCTCCCTGTGCTCGTGTGAGTTTTTCTCAGTTTCCTCCAACAGTACAAAAACACATGACCTATGTAAAATGAACCTTCTAAATTGGCACCATAGTCAAGCTCTTAGTAAGCCTTATATCTCCCTTTAGCCAACCCTATATCTGTCATTAGAACAGAAACAAGTTGGGGGAGTTAATCGAGATCTACCTTAGCTCAAACTCCCCTCTCGCCCTGTTTACAGAAGGGAGTCCAGGCCTTGAGGATCTTATGAGCTTAGGGCTCTCTCCCGTGACAACATGCCAAACAAGTGTGAACTCTTGAATACATATCAAGTTACTACAAATTAATACTTTCATGAAATTATATTATTAAGGGGAAAGTCTGAATGTGTGAATATAAAACTAACTTTACCTCTATTAACTCTATGTGGTTTCACATACCAAGGGCTGTTTTTTGGGAACCTTGGTGGTTTGGATTTTTTACTCTGATGAGACTTTGATATTAAGAAAATTCCACTTTTATTGTCTAAATTCCATAGTCAACTACTCTTCTGGAAAATTATATTCACACGCAACTTTTGTCCACATTGCTCGGTTCTGTGGACTAATAGAACAATACTGATAAACAGGAAATCAATATTTAAAACTGAATGGTTTGTAAAGGAAATTCTCTTTGTTACTGACATGGATTGTAAAAGTATTTTATTGGATCATTCAAGATTTGTTGAACACTAATGTAAACTGTACTTAAAGAAAGTAATTAAAAATCTGTAGAGCTTTTCCTATAACCTTGATTTACCTAATTCAAAGTACTTAGACTTATTCTGATGTTACTCCGTTATTGCCAAATTAATCAATTAAGTAATCACAAATTACTAGACAAAAATTTCAAGAATAAGGTAGCTACAGATGCTTTAAAAGCTAAATTGTTCCATGATTATGATAAACACAATGTGCAGGTAAACCTTTCTGGTATGATGGAAAAAGTCTTCTCTAAATACATTCACTGGCCAATTACACTTAAAGTCAAAGAAAGACATTTCAAAATTTGTCACAGGATTCATCCTGTTTCTAATTTTCTACAAAAGTGATTTAAATTCGATAAGGCAGAATGTACCTTCTGTGGATTTACTGAGGCAAACTTTAAAACATCTATTTTGTACTTGCCCCATTTCATGCAAATTGTGGAGTGATGTTTAGAGAATGGCTGGCATTAAACATGTCAAACATCTCTGTTTTTAACATCCACTGTATTCTCTTGTATTATGATGGGTTTAATAAGTCAATATCAGACATTGTGAATATTGTTTTTTCTACTTGCTAAATCCCATATAAGTAAGAATGTTCCCCATGCTTTGAACATTTCCAAAACAAACTTAAACTCTTTTAGTTCTCACTGAAATTACTTAAAAAATGTTGTGCCCAAAAATTATCATCAGCCATTAATAGTTTTTTTGTTTTGAGTTTTATTTATCCATTTTTTGTATTGCCTTACCTGTAATATAAACCCCCTAGGTTTAATGCTAAATGATTTGTACTTGTTTTGCTACTATGTTGTTACCTCTATGAGATTTTTTATTCTATGTTTATTAAAACCAAAACAAAAAAAACATTCTTACTCTATGTGATCTGCTCTTTACATAGGCGGTTGCCTAACATGGCGCCCTGCGGTGGTCGGTAGCAGTAAAATGTGTCTCCCAACAGTTTCAACAGAAAGAAGCAGTCAGTGAAATAACAAATAAATCAGAAATTAAAAATAGAAACATTTTCAAGTGTGATCGCATGTTCGTGTGGAATAAATGTTTTTTTAAAATGAACATAAGTGTAACATCTGCTGTTGTACAGAGATATGACCAGCTCAAAATTGCAACATAGGAGAGACAATGGGTTTATTAACAAATAACATAATTAACAAAGACTATTTAAAGCAAACTTAGTCAATATGTGGAGATCAGTGGTGAATGGTGTCAACTGAGCTCGTCATCTAAACTTTAACCAAATGAACAAACCGACTGACAGGAAGAAGGTCTGGATTATAGAGCTATCTTCAAACATCAGATGTTGAGCTCTTTCTAGAAGAACAGATCATGAGTCTGAGATCACACATCCACAAATCACCAACCAGTCTCTGCAGACCACAAAATCACACACACACAAAAAACAAGCAGATCCAAGTACAACAAGAAATATTAAACGGTTTATATAAAAGTGTTGTAAAAGTTTTCAAGAATTAAATTTCTGTTTTCACTAATACTGCAAACAACTGAGCCACTACTGAGTCTCTTCTGTTATCAATTAGTTTTTTTTATCAATATGCAAATTAATGGTTTTATTTTTCAGAATAAGGTAAATAATTAGATCAGATGTTCACATAAATGTACAAATACTCAAGGCTGAAGTTTTATTTCAAACAGTCAATGAGCTTCATTATATGGATGTTTAAAGGATATCCTTTATAATACTGAGACAGATATTGTCAAAAGGTTGTGTGTGTGTATGTGTTGTAACATAAAAAACATGAACTAATAAACAATAAAATAGTAAAAAAAAATTAAATAAGAATGCATATGTTCACCCTGTCAAGGATGGATTTGTGACCGGGTGGACATAACAGGGAGGACATTTTTGGCTAAAGATATCATTTATTCAACACAGGTTGTAACTGCTGCTAAAGTTTAAAAGCTACATTTTAATATCTGAATTAAAAAAAATAAAAAAATAAATTTCATGAATATTTCACTCTGACAGGGTGGACATGTTAAGCTTGACAACATTCATTTTCAAACACAATATGAGGAAAAATTGGAAACATAAGTGTATTTACTGATATTTACTGTGTGCACAGCAGATGTTTTCACCTCCTCTGAAGAAAAGCAAATTGGGCATGAGAATGCCAATGAGTACATCAGAGGATTTCTTAAAGGGGCATTTACCACATCAGGACATGGTGGACAGCAATTTTAAGGACATGTGCAAAATGATTAATGATATTATTAAAACAAAATAAAAGTTATTAAATGACTTTTTTTATCAAATAACTTGTTAAAAAATAAGAATATTTTAAAAATCTTTTTAATTTAATCTAATTTACCTACTTTTTAGAAGTTGTCTGAGCAGTGTGTGGGACATGACAAAATCACATCCATTAAATGAAAGAAACGGCAAAAATTGACAAAATTTTCTGCTTTAAACTCTTAGTGGATTAAAAACGTTTTTTTTTAAAAAATGTCTTAGAAATGTTTAGAGTAAAGGTTTTGATCAACTCCAAATACTGAACATATGTGTGTCTGTGTAGAAATGTATAAACAAGTCATGACTGCGCCAGTAAGTAACAATAAAAAGCTAAACAAAAAGACTTTTATTTTGGCGTGGCGTGTGACGTCATAAGGCTGCGCCGCTCCTGCGCTGTGATTCCACTGGAAAGAGGTTTGTTTTAAAGCTTTTACATGAATATAAAGCGATTGATTAAAGTGTCACGTTTTTACCCAAAAGTAAATTATGTACCTGCCATTAACAATATCATTTTAACTCTTTATACAACGTAGTACTCATTTACTCACAATAATGAGGGCTAATGTTTAAATAAAGCAACAGAAAAGTCTGTAAGTGTTTTAATGAAGGTTAAATTTATTAAATAGCATAATGGCATTTCATTCTAAGTATACATCACTATAAGAAATAAAGTACTAGTTTTGTTTGGGTCATTTGTGGCATTTTGTTTCTTGCTCAGACTTACTCTTTTACCTGATTTCTGTTTGTTAATTACTCTCATATAAAGAAACTGTTGAAGAGAAGTTATTTTGTTTCTGTTCATTGTTTTATTTATTTAAACAGGGCATTTTAATGTTTTGTTCATTTTAAACAGAATAAAGTGTCCAAACACAGAGAAAAACTCCTGCTGAAGCGACTGATCTCCACACTGTTATAAAGATGGCGTTTATTAAAGAGGAGAGTGAAGATGTGAAGATTGAAGAAACGTTCAGAGTCAAACAGGAAGATCTGCAGGAACAAACAGGTTGGTTTTCATTCTCAAAGACCAACTCAGTCATTTGATCCTCATTCAGATATATTTTAATAATAAGAATACTAAATTAAATCCATCTTGCAGCCCTGAGTGTGCTGCCTAGTTCTCCTAAATGCACATAAACTCTCATTGAAAGACAGGAATGACTTTCTTGTTCTTATCTCTTTTTGTAATTTTTTTATGTATTATTAGTCTCTTATTTTATCTACCTTCTTGAGTTTATTGCTTTTCTTTTTCTTCTACTGTTTGTAAAGCGTCCTGGAGCACTGGCACTATATAAAATAAATAAAAACTATAAATTAAAAAAAAAAGTTTAACTAAGCTGACGATATTTGACCTACAGTATTCTCATAGAAGATATCTGCTATTATGGTTATAGTGTTGGCTTACCACTTTTCATTTGCATATGTCATGTTGATCACAATTTCCCTTTTTCATCAACTTCTTTATGGGTTTAAACTTGTTTATAGTAGTTGTTGCTAGTTCTCACAGATATTATCTGAGTTAGAATTACATCTTTATTATAATAACTAATTTCCAGGGCTATTGTGTTTAAACAGGGCTTCTGCAGGGTCTTAAAATGTCTTAAATTCCAAAGTCTTAAATCTTGTTTTAAAATAATCTTTATTTTCATTTGTTCATGTTTTGCTACCCAATCTGGCCAAAACCCATACAATCACCAACAATCCATCTCAATAAAACTTCAAAAAGGTCATTTTTACTCTATTTATCATAATGGTTTAATTATTTTCCTTACAATAACATTTGTTTAAATGTGCTCCATGTATTTACTGCTGAGGACATTGACCTGGACATATTGTTGTGCAGAGAGTTAGTTTATTATAGTTTTTTAAACTTTTAAAACATTTGATCATTTTTTATTATTTTTTCAAAGAAAGTTCATGTTTGGAAAAGTGTATGGATATAAGTAAAGCTTGCTTGTTTTTACACAATAATTTTCTAATAATCTTTTGCTAATAAATATATAAAATATTGTGTTTTTATTATTCATTTATTATTGTGTTATTAAATGTATAAAATTATAATATTTTTTGATAGGGCAAATAAAAATCTTTTCCATCTGGGCCATTTGAAAAATTCCTTTGCCTTTAGCCCTTTATGAGTCTAAAATTTCATTCATAATGGTCTTAAAAATGTCATAAAAGTCTTGCTTTTTACTTGGCGAAATGTACAGAAACCCTGGTTTAAATTATATTGTTTATAATAACTTATATTATTTCATTTTTAACAATCAATTAAATTACACAGCGGTTTTATATCAAAAGTTTATAATGATATGAAATATACTACAGTTTGATGGTAAAATATAACCCTTTAAGCGATGGCTGTTATTTGTTTCAGTATTCAAACATTAAATAACGAATGCAGCAAGTGAAATAAAAAATGAATATGAAACAACACGTATATAGAAGGATTTAAACCATAAAAAGGACTATTATGTTTAGCATAATGCTGCTCTTTTATTTTTTGTATTTCATTTTATTAAGATAACGAACAAGCTGTAGGCAAATTATTGCTTGACGATTTAGAAAATATTTGCGTAACTATATTAAAGATCCCAGAGAACAAAAAACAAAAACACAGAAACATGTTACATGCATAAATGTCAAGCGTGTGTATAACTGAATCATATAATGGCCTATAGCTGAAATGATGAAAATTGCTCATTTGATTTTTATAAAACATTTGTCAAAACCTAGTAATATTTTTGAGTAAAAGCAATACCGACATTTAAGAATGCATATTAATTTAATTCATTCATTTATTTGACTTGTTTATGGGTGCATATATAGGCTATAATATAAATCACACAACAGTACTTTGGACAGTTACAGTGCCACTCCGTAAAGCTTTCAAGCAAAGTCCTAAAATATTATGAAGAGTTGACTTTGTAGCGTAGACTTTTTGACGGCCGACACTACAACACGTCGTAACTATCCTTCAGGTGGTCTCGCTGGTATCAAATTAACAAGCCGTCTGGGCTTTGAATTAAAAAGTGCAGTTATTTCCTCGTTGTCAAAAGAGTTAGCATGTTTGTGTTCCATGGATATAGTGATGGTGTTGTGGAATTTGAACATCGATGATGTTAAGCGTGTCTTTATTCGCTTTACTTGATGTGCAGCAAAAAATGTCTTTCAGCAACAAATGCAGTCGTTGGTAAAGTTGTCTCCCGAATCAGAGTGAGTTTTGTGCTGTCAAATGCAGCGCTGAGTGCAATAAACTTACATTCAGTCAGGCAAATTAAAAGTCTCATTGCCTTGCAATCAAATTAATCAAGTTCTAGCCATGAATAAAACAATAGGCTATTTTATTATTTCTAAGATTTTAGATGACTGGTTAGTTATTATGTCACACATTATTGTATTCACGTCAATGAAATAATAACTATAATAAATAAAATATCTTCGTAGGAATGTGATGAGTTATTCACTTCTCTGCCAGAATGGCAGGGGAGAGTCATGAAATTTCTAAGCCAGTGGTGCTCAACCCTGTTCCTGGAGATTGACCTTCCTGCAAAGTTCAGCTCCAACCCTGATCAAACACACCTGAACCAATTAATTTTGACTTGAACAGCCCTTGATAATTACAGGCAGGTGTATTTGATATGGGTTGCAACTGAAATCTGCAGGGAGGTCGATCTCCAGGAACAGGGTTGGTCACACCTGTTCTAAGCTAATACCCTAATGCTAGCATTCTGGCAGATCGCCTACTGCACCTTTAACAGCAGCTCAGATTAGAGACTAGAGGGTATTCCAGAAAGCTGGGTTACCTTCCCATCTGCTAAATCCTGAACTCTCGGTTGAGTAACCCAAAACCTGCTTACCGTGAGTTATGTCGGTTCTAAAACGGCTGATAAGAGTTAGTTAAATCAAACTCCTGATGATAACAGTGGGTTAATGCATGCGCACGGCGCATACCTGAAGGCATTCTCAGCAGATCGCCAAATTCACAAGTTACCATAGAAAGTCAAGGTGAGTAAAAAAGACCAGCGCACTTTACAGAGGTGGAGGTTTTAATCACAGATTACACATCTGCATCAATGAAAGAAATATAATATGAGAAATAGATAAGAAAAGAAAAAATAAATAATAAGAACATTTGTTACTTCATTAAATTACACATGCCACCCTCCCTTTTATTGTAATGAAAAATTTAACTTCTCTTTAACAACCTTTTTTAATATGTTGTGTAACCATTCATGCATTTAATTTTCCTGCTATTAATTTCTTTAGACCACAATACAAATGTGTATTGACTAATAAGGCTTACAGAAATTGTAATCCTTCTGGAGCTAGAAGAACTCTATCCAAGAACATAATTAAACACAGAAACATTCTCTGAAAAAATATTATTTGATTAATTGAGCTGTATTAAACACTCTAGAATATTCTTTCTGTCATGCAGTTGATAGAAAGAAGGCTGAGGCATGTCTAACTGCTGTGGGCCACCAGGTGGAGGAGCTGCTCTGTCCCATAAAAAAGGCTCATCAGTGGTTGAGTTCTTTGACTTAAACCACACAATCTGTCACTGTTGTAAGTGATTGTTGTCTGGTAGTTTTAGGTTATTTTTTGCTTTTTGTTTTGCATGCAGACAAAGTTATTTCTGCCTCAACTAACAAGCAGTGTAAGAATTTGTCTGCACTTTTCCATATTTGAATTTGACTATTGTATCACAAAACAATCAATCCATCTCTTTGGTCTGCTTGAGTTACTGAGGTTTCCTCTGGATCAGGCTGCAGGTAGGGTGTCATCATATAAGGCAGAAAAGGGTATCCTCTGTCCTCCAGCAAGTAACAATGTAGTGCCCAGTAATGATTCAATTTTATAATACAAATTTAGTTAAAAGGAACATTGTGTAAAGCAAAATTAGTTTTTTTTTTACTATATTTGTATTATACACTTGAATCATTTGCTCACTGAGATCAGCCATTTAGCCTCAACATAGTGATGAGGTGGGGTCATCACTCAAAACAGTTCAGTGCCAGGCATACTGTACAGATGGTCCTACACACTTTTGCCACATTGTACAGTTGCCTAAAATGCCCTGACGTGAAAACAAAGAGCTGCACTGTATGTTTTCTATGGTAAGCGCAGACCCGCAGTTTGTCACGTTTGATTTCATAAGGTTTGTTAAATGCATTAACGATTCTTTTGAAAAACTACAATGTTCATTCAAATATACAGTTGGCTATGAAAAGAACTATGCACTTATAACTAGGGTTGGGTATTATTTGGTTTTTTTTTCCGATACCGGTGCTAAATTGATACTTTTAAAACAGTACTGGTGCCAAAACAGTGCTTAAACCGATACTTTTTAGCCACAAAATCAATCGACCAAAAAAAAAAAAATTATATATATATATATATATATATATATATATATATATATATATATATATATATATAATCATTATAACTGAACAATATAAATATATATTTATAATACGTTTAAAGAAAATATCAATTCATATTTTATATATTTGAATTGCATTCATATATTTATTTTGATCATTTGTTTGTTAGCATAAATGCAAGATTTGCATTATGCTATTAACGTTACATTAGCTTACTACTAACCTGTGGAAAAGGCTGTCATCAAAATCAGGGAACATCTTTTTTTCTGGGTTTAGGGCTTGTGACTACTTTGACATGGACATCAGTGATCTAATGATTTGCCCTAATCTGAATAAGACAATAATATGATTCAGATGTTTACATGAGTTGCTTTTTAAATGTTACATTCATGATTCCCAGTTACATGTTATAGCACATTCCCCAGTAACATCATTGTGTCACCAGCCTAATGTTTACTCCGCAGTTTGTGTCTGTGGTCCTTTAAGATAATCAAAAATCACTGTTTACATATAAGAGTATTGTCTTAATCATATTAAAATCAGAGTATTGGTGTCCATGTAAACGTACTCAAATAATGTGCCAGATGATGCCACAAGCTGTCCAAGACAGTCCATTCCTCATCTTTAAGGTGATTCCATGAGCCCTTACATTTCATAAGTTTGACGTGTTTCTCTCTTACACACAACTTTTGTAAAGCATCTGTTGCATGTTGGTGTGTTAGAATCCTTGCTTGTAAAATAAAGCCATACTGTAGAATGCTTAGTTTAAGCAAAGTAGATGAACGCAATCATGCGTATTGATGAAGTGAGTTGCTTGCCGCATGCGCCGTACTGCACGCTTTGCCTTCTATAAGCTACAATAACAAGCATCTGACATCCGTATCCCTCAAAGCTGTTTAGAATTAAACATTTAGAGGTAGTATGACACAACGCTTACTTATGAGTGCCTTTAATGCACCCCTTTGTGCTTCTTAAGGGTGTCACACAGTAGATGCGCCACTCAGAGCGAGGCATGGCGTGCACATGACAGTTGATAGTATCACACACCAGACGTGCACATTCGCATGTTATTAAACCCTCCTGTCGTGTTCGCATCCTACCCCTTACTTTAGTGTTCCCGGTCAAAATTGACCGGTCTGTTTTAACTGCTCTTATATTAGCACAAAGATAATTTTTCTCCACCAGATTTTTATTCAACATTCTTCAGCTGTAAACAATGTCTCAAAGTAGTGTTTACATAAATTTACAGAATTAGACATAAAATAACTGATGAAAATAAAAATAGGCGCTGAAAATATATTACAAAATGAACAATAGATGACTGGAATCAAAATACTTTGTTTCATTACTAATAGACAGCTAACTAAGAAAACTATCACAGGGTCTGACCAAAGAAATTTTAATTTTAATCCATCTGAATGATTTATCAACCAGCAAAGCACGAATAAAATGCTGTCCTTTTCTGTGTTCTGAGAGATCAAATTTTCAGTCCTTCAAGTATAACAATATAGGGAATAGTGACTGAGGCTATATATGGTAAGCATGACCCAACAACTAGCTCTAGTTATACTTTAGCCATTTTTGAGCGAGATAATAATGGTCTAATATAATAAAATAATTGTTGCTAAACTAAAAGTGCTCCTGCTAGACTGAGAGATTGGCTAAACGAAAGAAAGAAAGGAAACAAGATTCCTTCTGTGTTTTTTCCAGAGAGAAAAATAAATAAATAAACAAAAAAAATAAAATAAGAAATATAGAAAGAGACACACAGATGGATTCGCATAACAGACACCTGTTTAGTCTGTGTTATCAGGAAGTTGATTCATGTTAGAGGACCCAACACTTTAATAGCAATTCATAACTTACTGCTTTAGTAGTTAATCCATATGAATTTGTATGATCTCATTCATATAGTTTTGTACAATTTGCTTATCTCCTATGAAGATTGGGTTTAGAGGTTGGGTTGGGTGCCATGCCTCCTTTTATAATTCATACAGTTTTGTACGACTGAACTCATATGAATTAGCCACTAAACTGACAAAACGTAAAATAGTTATGTTTATTTGTGAGATCAGGCTGGAGGATCAGCACATAAGCGCGTAAAAGAGATGTGTTCCTGCAAAAGACACTGTTCAGTCTGAAATGAGTGAGTGAGTGGGTGGGTGGGTGAGGGAGTTGAGGTTGTGTGTGGATGGATGTTTTCTGTCAGATGGATGAAAATAATCTGGATACCTATTTATTTCCTATGGCGGTCACTTTTGACCGGGAACACCACAGGTGTTACAAGGTTGATTAAAACACTCAAAATTCAATGAAAGAGGTGCTCATCACTTTTATATGTTCAAGTGCATAGTGTGGGGGATTTCATAGGGCCATGAGGCAATCAGATGTAAAACACAATATTTATGAGTTATTTAAGTTGTAAATCGGTCAGGTTTGACCCGAACACGACAGGAAAGTTCAAATGAAACTATTTAGATGGCGCTCTGTGGCATGGCAAAAATATGAATAGTCATGAGTCGTGCCTGGGCGGCGCTGCGCGGACACTTTTCAGCTTTTGATGAGAGTTTTTAAGACTTAATGAAAAATAATGTTTCATTTATTTATTTCAGACCTAATTGAAGAGATTAAGGTGGATAAAGAGGAACAACATCATGTCAAAATTGAGGAAAAAACTCATTTACAGACTGATGGTATTTTGAAAAGGAGAGACAAGAATCGTTTCACCTGCACTCAGTGTGGAAAGAGTTTTGAAAAACAAAGCTATCTTAAAATTCACATGAGGATCCACACTGGAGAGAAACCATTTACATGCACTCAGTGTGGGAAGAGTTTTAACTGCTCATCACACCTTAAACTACACATGAGGATTCACACTGGAGAGAAACCATACACATGCACTCAGTGTGGGAAGAGATTCATCCGCTCATTCTCCCTTAATAAACACATGATGATCCACACTGGAGAGAAACCATTTACATGCACTCAGTGTGGGAAGAGTTTCAGGCAATCATCATCCCTTAATAAACACATGATGATCCACACTGGAGAGAAACCATTCACGTGCACTCAGTGTGGGAAGAGATTCATCCGCTCATCATCCCTTAATCTACACATGAGGATCCACACCGGAGAGAAACCATTTACATGCACTCAGTGTGGGAAGAGTTTCAGCCAATCATCAACCCTTAATAAACACATGATGATCCACACTGGAGAGAAACCATACACATGCACTCAGTGTGAAAAGAGTTTCAGCTACTCATCACACCTTTATCTACACATAAGAATCCACACTGGAGAGAAACCATTCGCATGCACTCTGTGTGGGAAGAGTTTCAGCTGCTCATCATCCCTTAATCAACACATCAGGATCCACACTGGAGAGAAACCATTCACATGCACTCAGTGTGGGAAGAGTTTCAGCCGCTCATCATCCCTTAATCAACACATGAGGGTCCACACTGGAGAGAAACCATTCACATGCACTCATTGTGGGAAGAGTTTCAGCCGACCATGGTCCCTTAATTTACACATGATGAGACACACTGGGGAGAGACCATTTACTTGCACTTAAGCCACGGTCACACTGGACTTTTCTCCCCATAGACTTCCATTTATAAGCACACACATGCATCAGATCGGAAATGGAAGTTCGTGTGTCAAGTTTCACAGTTCACTGCATTGCAAAGTTCAAGCTTGGAGAACTCTGACCTGCGTAATTGCATCAGTTGACTGAGTGAGACCAATCACAGATCAAAACATGAACTCTCTGGATAGAAATGTAAAATATGGACCAATCACTCACTTTTTTTTAATGTCTAATCATCTTGTTTAATCCGCCCCTTTTCGCCGCACCGTTCAACAGAATATCGCATGCATAAACTCTAGTGTGACCACAGCTTCGGTGTGGGAAGAGTTTCAGTAACTCCTCAGACCCTAATAAACGCATGAAGACTCCCACTGGAGAGAAACCATTCACATGCACTCAGTGTGGGAAGAGTTTAAACCGATCAGCAAATCTTAATAAAGGCATGAAGATCCACACTGGTGTGAAAGACTATATGTGCTTTGAGTGTGAGAAGACTTATATTACAAACTGCACAAGACGTTTCATACTGGAGAGACTGTGCAAGTGTTCACACTCTGACGAGGTTTAATCAGTTAACACATCTGAAAACAGAAGAGGATTCACTGGAGAGAAACTGTACAGATCTGATCAGTGTTTACAGAATTTCACTCATTTGGTTCAAAATGTTTGAAAAGGCTGAGTGATGATTTACTGTTTTCCAACACTCCTACACTGCAGTAGGTGGGGTTGTAAATGTGTTGCACTCATTGCGTTTACCCTAAACACAATGATGGCGGTTGAGTGAAGAACAGTTTCATAAACATCTGGCAAACAGCGCCTCTGCGGCTTAAAATCTCTTTGCAAGTGATTGTACAGGTGCGTATACATCTGTACTCCACTCTTCAGTGTATTCATGTAACTAGTGTTGTTTTGGATGATGTTCTCTGTCTGACTCCCTGAATGAGAAACAAATCACTGGGAAGACACCGCACATCAAAGAAGGTGGAGCTCCAGGACGGTTAGTTTGCAGTAAACCAAGTCTTCAAGTTTAAAAAGCCCATTCAATTGTCCTGTGTTGCATCTTTTATTAGTAAAGTTTCTTTACTTTTAGGTTTAAAGGGGTGGTCCACTATGATATCATATTTTAAACTTTAGCTGATGTTTAATGTAGGTGTGTGAACATAAACAACATCTCTGAATGCAAAAAGTTCTAAGTTCAATGCAAAGGGAGACCTTTGTTTTTACAGAGTTAGCTTAGCAAAGCCTACAATGATCAAATTTTGGGGACTACAAAAAATACTTCCAGGCCTTGTGAGATCACAGAAGTTCGTTACTGCGCATCCAAACTGAGCAGGTAAGGCCCGTGGCCAGAGGCCCTGTAACGTTATAGCAGAGATCAAGCTAAAAATGCGTCTAAACGCTGCTATTTCCACAGAGCTTCATCTGTTTCTGTATTTGGGCTTCCAAAGGACACGACACAAAGACAGAAGTGCTTACAGTTCAATATTAACTATGTTCCAGAGAATTTTAAAATACACAGCAAGCATGATTTGACAAAACAGCTCCAGAATCTCTCCCAGTTCAGTGCTGGATTTGGCTAAAATCTCAAAGCAGAAGCTGTCAGGTACAACCAGTAAGTGTTTTTATTAGTTAAAATTGATCATGACATGTACAGTGTCTAGCGTTAATGGTATGCTGTAGCAACGATGTAAACAATGGGTAATGCTGCTTTGCGGGCAAACGATTTAGCTACAAATTCATATTTATCAGTCAAACTGCTGTGAACACACACACACATTCACACACACTCCACCAGCACGTTCGTGTCTCTTATGTGTGTGCGCGTGCGCGACTGGCGCAACTGATTGTCCTCAGGCAGCTTTTCTATGCGTTTCACATCTCAGATAATGAAGTCGCAAAAGATATGTGGATGATTCATATTACACCTGCATATTCCGGATACACGTAAAAGCCATCATGTTATGCGTTGAGTTAAAAAAATACAGTGCTAGCAGCAGAAAAATAAATCTGTATTTTATCTGTATATAATAAAACTATATTACAGAAAATAACTTAATCCAAGCATCAGAGAAAAAGAAAGTCCTGCGCACATGCGCTTGTTACAGAAAGTTCACACATTCACACACACACACACACACACATACACACATAGACGCACACGCTATTAAAGGAGCTGTTTACATTTACATTTGTTACAGACAATTGACAGATGTTATTTTAGAGAGCAGGCAGGAGGTTGACACAGCAGAAAGGCGCATGCTTTTATGGGCGTGACGTGGACCCGATTCGTTAATCGCAGCACATTATAACGATGACCAATCAAGAGTCACTTAAGGGCGGGCTTTTCAGAGGAACTTGGAAATTTGACAGTTGTTTTCATGTTAGCTGAGTAGCTGCGTATAATCAAAGTGAGATATATGAAAAAATAAAAAATAACGCAAATTCCTTCAAGTGAAACATGAGCACACATTGCTTTGCATCTTATAAATACAACCAAGCCTTAAAATTACATTGTGGACCACCTCGTTAATGGCTAGAGTGACGTTTCTAATTTGCTCATGTTTTGCTGTGGATATATGAATGGTCTCGTTAGAAAGTTATTGTTCTAAATCATAATTGGTGCATTGCTGGTAATAGTCAAATGCAAGCATTCCCAAATTACTGCCAGAATTTTATAAAAAAAAATAAAATAAAAACTTTTGTTTTGTTGACCTGTTGGTTGAGGCTAATACAATTACTCCTGTTTTCCATTGTACACATAGGCCGGTATAAGATTCTGGTATGATAACCTTGGATTAAAAAAAATCAGTTTCTCAATATTGTGATTACTGCTCTAAAATATATTCTCTTTAAATGTCTGGGAAAAAACAAAACCTTTTCCCTTTTGAGCACGATATATTTTATTTTGAGAAACAATTTAAAGTTTTTTTGGAATAGTAAAGATGGTAATAGTAAAGAATAAAAATGAATTATTGACTTCTGATTTCTTTATTAGCTTCAAAAACTTCTTTACATTTTAAAATGGCATTTTTGTATATCTTTTGTGCTGGAGATAATTTTGTCCTAAAAAAACAAAAACAAATAAAAAACGTATTAAAAACAAAGAAAAAAAATACATATACTGTAGGAACGATATGGCAGAAACCTTTGGCAGTTTAAAACCTTGACTTTTCCAAACTGCGGTATACATTGAAAATAGTTATTGTCCCTTGTCTATTTTATTGTATTGAAACATTAATGTGTGTATAACTATGTAAACCAAACCCTAACACACACACATTTTAATTTCTACTATTGTGTGTGTGTGTGTGTGTGTGTATATAAACCAATAGATTAGAATAGAGAATGTGTGTATGTGTTAGGGTTAGGTTTACATGGTTATGCTAATAAGTTAAGATGCATTTAGTCATTTACTGAATTTAGCATTTTTTAGAATAACGCCACAGAATATATTTTAAGTTAATTTACCATTTTAAATAACTGTGTCGTAGTCTTAGAATACATAAATGCATTAGAGAATATTTGAGGTATGACTGAATCAAGGGAAATGGTAATATGTGTGGCTCATAATAAATGGATTTGAGTTTCTGTGGTGTTCGAGCGCCATCTGCTGGTTGATGTCGGTAGCGGAAAGTGTTGCTTTCAGTTTCACTTTCATTTGGATATAAACAGCGTTAAAGCGTTGTGCTAATAGTTTAGATAATTCCATCAAGGGTAATACCATGTAAGCACAATTTTTGTTAACTGATTTGATAAATGTAACATTTTTTTTCTGTTAAAGAATAGTTTTGTTTTGTATAACTGCTCATTCATGATGGTTGATTTCATCAGGAGAACATTATTATGTTATAAAACACACTGCACAAGATTTATATGAGAGAGTCAGAGATTTATTTCATTTTCACTATTTTACAAAAAAGAATCAAGACAAAAAAAGACAGATCTTCAAACTGCATATGTGGTTCTTTATGCTTTTATGTTGCTGACTGAACAGTCAGGCAGCCAGTGTTAGTGAGGCCAGTACAGGCCCGGCGCCAGGATGTCAGAATTGAGGGGGCATTTTAAATCCACAGGGGGGCACTAGACCTGGTGACTGATTTTGCTCTCTTTTGTTCCTTTCATTTAGGCTATTTATTCACGTTTATTATTTATTGCTTTGCATTACTGCTTAAGTTACTGACCTAAGGCAGTAATATACGTTTTATTAGTAATAATAATATGCACAGTTTCGCCATTACTGATTTTATTAATGATGGTAATGCAACAATACCGCTTATTTAGATGGATCATTGCTTCAGTGCCAAACGAGTGCTTTAAATCATATGTTATTCTTTTTATTTATTTCCATTTTATTTCAAATAACAGGCCTATGAATGTTTAAAGTTTTAAGAAAAGACATCAATTTATGCCCACACATGCAAGCTGACCCACGATCAGACTATTCGTATAACCGGTAAATAAATATAGTGAAATCAGCTTAACCGAGTCATCATGCTTCACGTAACTTATTACCCAACCAACATCAGTGTTAGGAAAAAGCTAAATGTTACAATCTAATGTCATTTAAAACAATTACTTAGTTATATTTTAAGGCATTAGTGTAGCTAGAAAAATACCTAAAAAAGATACCAAAATTTACAGTTATTACCGTGAAAATTGGTTACATTTTGGCACGGATAACACGCAACTCAGGCTATATAACTTTTTACATCATTTTAAATAAAAAAAAAATTAAGATTTATATTAGGCTATCATAAGTGTTTTTTTTTTTTCGTGATATTGTCCGGTTGTCATTTGTAAACCATCATAAACCATTAGGTTACTAGGCCTGCCCGTCGTTTTATTTATTTATTAAGCCTATTTTAATAACTTGTTTTCAGGTTATTTGCATTTTATGGCCATGAGCTACAAGTCAAAACAAACTCGATATGCTGACTGTATTTTAGCTTTTAAAATATATCTACTATTTATTTTATGTTGTTTAATTTTGCATGAGCAAATAGCAGTATAGCCTAAATTACATATTTTTAAAAGATTATCATTCTGCCTACCTGCAGTGTGAGAGGTTTCTCGGTTGATCCGCGGTAAATCCACTTAAGCACGTATACACAAAGCACTATATACCTATTGTATTTATAATACAGCAAACTTGACCTCGCAGGCCGATCATCTTTAAATGCCAAAGGCATTTAATAAGTGTAAATACATTTAATAAGACTGGATCTCTGGACTATATAGGAGCTTTAATCTCACCATTTTCATAATTTAATTGCTATGTCATATATTTTAAAATATTGTAGGTTGGAACGACGGGAGTGTTAGTAATTAATGAGAGAAAGAATTTTCAGTTTTGAGTGAAAAATCTAATTTTGGGGGGGGGGGGGTGGTACGGGGGGCATAAATTCTTTCTGAGGGAGCGCCGGGTCTGGGCCAGTACAAACTTTTTTTTTTTTTTTTTTAATATATATAATTGTCGTTTTAAATGTCCTTTATTCTTGTGATTCAAAGCTGCATTTTCAGCATGGAGATAGTAATAAAAGAAATGAAAGAAAGTAATAATTTGTACAAAATTGCAAGATTTTTATAACATTGTACATGTATTTATAATGTTTAAAGTGTTGCAAATTATTTAGAAAATTATTATTTTGAACTTTCATTTTTATCAAAGTTTCACAAAACTCGGATGGAGATTTACAATTCAATGTAAGATTTACCAAACAGCTTTATTACAGAAAGTAAATTAAATAAATTACAGTAAAAACAACTTAGTTACTGAATTGTTCATTTAAACTGACTTTAATTCAGTTGTTGTTCAGTAGAACAGTTGTTGTCATCTGATAATCTAGGTGCTCATTCCATTTGCAGGATTACATGTTATGATCGTGTTTATGATATCTTTTCTCTTCCTAACATTCTGATGAAAAATAACAGACACACCTGATGCCAACAAAATGTCTTTTGCTAACATTTCATCACTTTGGAATTATAAGGTTCTATCTGCGTTCTGAGGGATTTTGAGATATTGAGCTTCAAAGTTTTAGCATTCCATAGTAAGCAGTATGTGTGTAATATTTTTTTCATTATTTTTTTTAAAAATAAAGCCTTAATGTAAACCACTTATGAAAAACATCCTAAAATGTAAGCCAAGTTGTCATTTTTATAAGAATATGTCAATAACTCAATTTTGTCAAAAATGTCAGATAGAACCTTGGCTGTTTTTTTTTTTCCCTCAACTCTCGCAAGAATTTGAGAAAAGTCTTCTACCACATGTTTTGAGAAGTACAAACATTTCAATAGTATACTCTATCATATTTTGATTAAATCAATGGCACTGCTTATGTAATAAAGATCCCCTCTTCATTTACCAGCATCACAAACACACCAGTTAAACTGTCCTCTTGAAAAGAATTGTTGCATCTTTTCCCCCAAACCTGTCATTTCTCATTTGGAAGTATTGTCTGTATTGATAAATGCAGTGTGATGGTTAT